AGGTCAAGGTTCTCTTCTTCCACCTATGCCCAGCAGGGCCCTCCACTTTTACATATTCAGCTGAAGCCCTGGATTCCCCCCTAAGTGCTCCCAGGCTGGTGGTTTAGACCCTGGGAGCTGTGGTTGGTTGGTATTGTTGCTCTCCTCATGGTGCCACAAACCCTTTCAGCTCCTTCAGTCTTCACTCTAACTCCTCCATTGAGAACCCCATGATCAGTTCAATGGCTAGTTGTGAGCATCTGCCTCTGAATATGTCTGACTCTTGAAGGCCTCTGAGGAGATATCCATATCAGGCTCTTATCAGCATGCACTTCCTGTCTTCCACATCAGCATCTACCTTTGGTGATTGCACATGGGATAGATACTCAGGTGGGGTGGTCTTGAGACGGCCCCTCCTTCAGTTTCTGTCCCTCACTTTGTCTCCATATTTGCTCCCTTGAGTATTTTGTTGCTCCTTCTAAGAAGGACCGAATCACCCTCACTTGGTCTTCCTTCTTTATGGGCTTCATGTGGCCTGTGAGTTGCATCTTGGGCATTTCAAGGTTCTAGGCTAATATCCAATAATCAGTGAGTGAATACCATGTGTCTTCTTTTGTGATTGGCTTACCTCACTCAGGATGATAATTTCTAGTTCCATCCATTTACCTAGGAACCTCTCGAATTCATTGTTTTTAATAGCTGAGTAATACTCCATTGTGTAAATATACCACATTTTTTGAATCCATTCCTCAGTTGAAGGACATCTGGGTTCTTTCCAGCTCCTGGCTATTATAAATAAGGCTGCTATGAACATAGTTGAGCATATGTCCTTGTTATATGTTCGAGCATCTTCTGGGTATATGCCTAGGAGTGGTATAGCTGGATCCTCGGGTAATGCTATGTCCAATTTTCTGAGGAACCGCCACACTGATTTCCAAAGTGGTTGCACCATCTTGCAGTCCCACCAACAATGGAGGAGTGTTCCTCTTTCTCCACACCCTCGCCAGCATCTACTATCACCTGAGTTTTTAATCTTAGCCATTCTGACTGGTGTGAGATGGAATCTCAGGGTTGTTTTGATTTGCATTTCCCTGACGACTAAGGATGCTGAACATTTCTTTAGATGCTTCTCGGCCATTCGAGTTTCTTCCGT